CAGACCAGAATCTAACATTATCTGCCTTCATCGACTCGGGCTGTGAACGGAATTTGATAGACTCCAACCTGGTTCAGCAACTACAAATCGAAACCATTCCTCTAACCCAGCCTCTTAGTGTCTCCGCAATCGATGGGAAGAGACTCCACCAGGTTACCCACCAAACGCAACCCCTCGAGCTGTTAATCTCAGGTAACCATCATGAAACCTTGACATTTTTTGTTCTTCCCTCTGCATGTTCGCCCTTGGTGCTTGGTTTCGAGTGGCTGGAACGACATAATCCCCATATAAACTGGGCTGATCGCCATATCGAGTCATGGTCGACCTCATGTCACGAAACGTGCCTCCGTTCTGCAGCTCCCACTGTAAGGTCTCCTAGAGGCGGGGGGGAGATGGACTCTCCTGACCTTACTCCTGTCCCTTCTGAGTACCATGATCTGGCTCCTGTCTTCAGTAAGGTCAGTGCTACGTCTCTTCCACCTCACAGACCATATGACTGTGCGATTGAGCTATTACCTGGAGCTCCCTTACCCAGCAGTAGACTTTACAATATTTCCAAACCAGAACGTGAAACTATGGAAAAATATATTAATGAGTCCTTAGCTGCTGGAATAATCCGTCCCTCTTCTTCTCCGCTGGGAGCTGGTTTCTTTTTTGTGGGCAAAAAGGATGGTTCTCTAAGACCTTGTATCGACTACAGAGGCCTTAACCAAATAACAGTTAAAAATAAGTACCCACTCCCGTTACTAGCATCAGCCTTCGAACCAGTACAAGGGGCTACTGTCTTCACTAAGCTCGATTTAAGGAATGCTTATCACCTTCTCAGGATTAGAGATGGTGACGAATGGAAGGCAGCCTTCAAGACTCCTTTGGGCCAGTTCGAGTATCTAGTCATGCCTTTTGGTCTCACTAAGGCCCCTGCCTGTTTCCAAGCCCTGGTCAACGATGTCCTCAGAGACTTTTTAAATGTCTTTGTGTTTGTTTACATTGATGACATCCTGATCTATTCTAAAGATCTTTCTGAGCATAAGAAACATGTCCGCCTGGTCCTGCAAAGATTATTGGAGAACAAACTTTTTGTTAAAGCCGAAAAGTGCGAGTTTCATCAACCTTCAGTCACCTTTTTAGGGTTTGCGCTCGAGGGCGGGCAGGTTAAGCCATCTGAAGAAAAGATAAAAGCAGTTTTGGATTGGACGGTTCCTGAAAACCGTAAACAGCTGCAGAGATCCTGGGTTTCGCCAATTTCTACCGTCGATTTATCAGGAACTACAGTCAGACAGCTCTTCCTCTTACAACTCTAACTTCAGTCAAAAAGACCTTCCAGTGGACCCCCGAAGCACAAAACGCGTTTGATAAACTAAAGACTTTGTTTTCCAGAGCCCCTGTGTTAATCCAGCCCGATCCAACCAAGCAATTCATCCTCGAAGTGGACGCCTCTGACTCTGGTGTAGGAGCTGTGTTGTCCCAAAGACTCGATTCTGATCAAAGAGTTCACCCTTGTGCATTTTTCTCTCGTAGACTTTCACCAGCAGAACAAAACTACGACGTTGGGGACCGTGAACTTCTGGCCATCAAACTGGCATTGGAGGAGTGGAGACACTGGCTTGAGGGAGCTGAACACCCGGTTTTAGTATGGACTGATCACAAGAACCTAGCCTAGCGCTTTGCGAACTCCAAGAGACGCCCTGCCCCAGAGTAGGAGGTATGGCTTTCCACTCGGGACAGCCTCCACCCATCAGTCTTCTGAGGGGCCAGCCTTCACCCATCAGTGTGCTGAGGAGCCAGCCTCCACCTATCAACCTGCTTAGAAGCCAGCCTCCACCTACCGCCATCTACTGGAAGCTGACTGTAAATAGGAGATACGGTCTGCTCATGTGCTCTTTGTTATCTGAGAACAGAGCCACAACTGCACTACTGTTGAACTAGAACCAGTTTAGTACGGTTCGGTTGAGTCTGGCACGATCCGGTTCAGTTGTGCGTGCCATTTACACTCAACATTTTTCATGGTTACCGTACTCGGACCAATTTTGGCACGGTTTCAAAAGGATAGTGTAATTGGGGCTATACAAATTGATTGCTTTGGGCATTTGAATACCATTTTGTGTGAACGCACAATATGATGACGTTAATAGGCTGCATTTAAGCTTTCAGCTTCAATTTTAACATGAATGTTAAATGAACCTGTCAATATTTAATACTAAATCATTATTCTTTTTCAATTAATCTAAAAATATATACTTTGGTGAAAGGAGGGAGAAGTTGATAAACGGCTCTGAAAACCTCTGATTAATTTGTGTTTTTGCTGTCTGTATCATTTGGGTGTTTTACTTTGGATCCTTTCTGTTGTCACTTAAATGTTAAAGAATAAGAGGAGGTGATTTAAGAAATTGTGATTGTTTTGTTTTCATTAATTAGATCCCCTGTGGAAGAACTGAAACTATTGGATCATTGAGGATGAATCTTAGATTTTCTTAAAGAAGCACAACATGAAGCTGAATGTTTTCAGTGAGACTGTTCTGCTTCTAGTGCATCAGGTTTGAGAATTACCTGTTTTACCTGTTTTCACACTTTCTTCTGTCTTAAAATGTTTTTTATTGAAAGGCCAAAGTACAATAATACAAAATTTGTCATTAAAGAGCAACTCTCCTCATTTCAGGAATAAACATAAGACAAATGAACAGATTAAATAAAAAACATCACTTAATGAATAACTATTAAATCAATATTATCTCTCCCACTAACCAACCCCTCTAAGCAGTGATACCTGAGTGAAGCAGGATTACTGTTCACTGTGTGGGCTCCATGTTATTTCAACCTCTCCCAGTTCACCACTGATTCAGAGTCCTCTCCGAGATGCAGGGCTTTTAAAGTCTTTTTCCAGAGCGAGATGATGAGCTTCTTTGCACAGAGGAGTCCAATAGACGATGTTCTGACACTTTCAACTATGCCAACTTTTCTGAAAAACTCAGAATAACCAAAAATAGATCCAGATTGATTTTAAAGGCATTTGGTGAATTTGCTCTCCAGAAATTCCTGCAGAAATATATGACTGATTTCACTTCCCATAAACTGTTGATTTATCTAGGAACGTTTTATGTAGTTCTACCTGTTAGTAGTGCAATCTGTTCAGAAATCTTAACTATATGAGGCAATGTCTAACTTTCAAAACATTAGAATATGTCTTAAAACTTTTTTTATGGAGGCCCTGAAGTGTAAACCACATGAACAAATCACTAAACATAGCTATTAATAAAAAAACATTGAATAATAATAATAATGACAGCAATATATTAAATAAACCCACTAAAGTTTCAAAAAACAAAACATTAACTTAAAAAAAATACTCTCAAAAACTGATCTAAAAAAGTTAATTGTCCTTAATTTAACTGTATTAAACATTAATTCGAGCAGATAGAGATTATCTGCAAATAGGAAGAATATCTGGGTTAAGGCAGGCTATCTGCCTTTATATTTTTCCAATATTGCTAAAAAAAGTCCTTATTCTTTTATGAGGAGGTTTTCCCAGGCCTGTTGATGTATATCGCCAAAAGTGTATGAAAACCCTTTTTTGGCATTTACACAGCGGCGGGAACGGAGATGTTTATCCTTTTTAATTATGAGGCTCATTTATGAGCATTAACTTTGGAATTGGAACAATCAGAAGTTTTACCAGTCACATGTAGGACTATTTAAAAAAATATCAAAAAATAGGCTTAGAGGAGTTCATTTTGGACAACATGCACATAAGCCTTAAGTTTGTGCATTAGTACCAACTGGCCATGAGTTATGCCTTTTCCATGCACTTATACGACCACAATGTCTCTTGCCAATGAATTATTAATGCTTGGCTGCGGGATAATGAGGTTGCACTGCCTAAGTGACACATTATTATCCTATTATGCAATACTTTCACTTTTATTTGAGCCTTACTTTAATATTTATCAAATAGTAATATCAACAGTGAAGCAGTAAGCTACCATTAATCTAACAGTCGTGCAAACGACTTAAAGTATTGTTAACTGAAGCAAGAAGTGTATTTATTAGAGATTCAGGGCCGTATGTATCTAGTATGTCCTTTAAAAATGATTGCAAATGCTATTTGTTGGGATCTGGAGGTCTGTCCACTTTCTCCACCAGAGGGCGTACCAGATCTCCTGGAGCCGGAGCTGACTGCTACCACCTGTCGCTCATCTGCTCATCAGGAGATCTGTATTTAAGGAGGCAGAGGACGTCTCTCCAGTGCCAGAGTGTTTGCCAGTTATGGTTGGTCTATGTGGTCTCTTCCACCACATAGACCATATGACTGTGCCACAGACCTGTTACCTGGGGCTCCCCTCCCCAGCAGTCGACTCTATAATATCTCCAAGCCCGAGAGGGAGACCATGGAGAAGTATATAAATGATTCCTTAGCCGCCGGAATTATTCGGCCTTCCTCTTCTCCTCTCGGGGCCGGTTTCTTCTTCGTGGGTAAGAAGGATGGATCTCTGCAACCTTGTATTGATTACAGAGGTTTGAACCAAATAACTATTAAGAACAAATACCCTTTACCTCTGTTAGCATCTGCCTTTGAACCCGTCCAAGGAGCCACAGTTTTCACCAAGTTGGATTTAAGAAACGCCTATCCTCTCCTCAGAATCAGAGAAGGAGATGAGTGGAAGACTGCATTTAAAACTCCTAAAAACGCCTTTTGGTCTGACCAACGCTCCTGCCTGTTTTCAAGCCCTGGTTAACAACGTTCTGAGAGATTTTCTCAATATCTTTGTTTTTGTCCATATTGACGACATCCTGATTTACTCCAAGAACATGTCTGAACATAAGAAACACGTCCGTTTGGTTCTCCAAAGACTCCTCGAAAATAAACTTTTTGTCAAAGCTGAGAAGTGTGAGTTTCACCGTCCTTCTGTTCTCTTTCTAGGATTCGTGCTCGAGGGCGGGCAGGTGAAGCCGTCTGAGGACAAGATCAAGGCGGTTCTGGACTGGCCCACTCCCGAAAATCGCAAACAACTACAAAGGTTTCTGGGTATTGCTAATTTCTACAGAAGGTTTATCCGAAACTACAGTCAGACAGCCCAGCCTCTTACTGCCCTGACATCCGTCAAAAGACCTTTTCACTGGTCTGCGGAGGCTGAGGCTGCATTTAATAAGCTCAAGGCTCTTTTTTCCAGTGCACCTATCCTCGTCCAACCTGACCCCTCCAAGCAGTTCATCCTGGAGGTGGATGCTTCTGATTCTGGGGTGTGGGCAGTCTTGTCCCAAGCGTCTGATTCTGATCAAAAGACTCATCCATGCACCTTTTTCTCCCACACACTTTCACCCGCAGAGCAAAATTATAATGTTGGCGATAGAGAACTCCTCGCAATAAAACTGGCTCTGGAAGAGTGGCGGCATTGGCTGGAGGGCGCAGAGCATCCCGTTCTGGTATGGACAGATCACAAGAACTTGTCTTGCATTCAGTCAGCCAAGTGATCCAATTCCAGTCAGTTCCCGTTGGTCTTTGTTTTTCTCCCGCTTAAACCTGATTATATCCTACCGGCCTGGTTCCAAAAACATCAAACCCGACTCTCTATCTCGCCTGTACTCACCCGACAAGCCCAAAACCCCGGACCCTGTTCTCCCTGCCAGCTGTACGGTGGCTACAGTTTCCTGGGAAATCTCCAACATGATAAAATTGGCCCAAGCTTCTGAACCCAACCCAGGAAATGGACCACCCAACAAGACGTACGTACCCTCTTCTGTCAGGTCCCGCCTCATCCACTGGATGCAGTCTGCAAGATTCTCAGCTCACCCTGGTGTAAGCAGAACCATAGCCTTGATCTCTCGCCATTTCTGGTGGCCATCCATCCACAAAGACACTAAAGAAAAAAAAAACCTGTCCTGTCTGCGCTCGTAACAAACCCTCTCATCAGCCTCCCTCTGGTCTTCTTCCGCTACCTGTTCCATCTCGCCCCTGGTCCCACATCGCTGTGGATTTTGTAACCGGTTTGCCAGCATCTAAAGGTATGACGACTATCTTCACAGTCATTGACAGATTTTCTAAAGCCTGCCATCTTGTTCCCCTCAGAAAGCTTCCGACTGCCTTCCAAACAGCTCAACTTCTCATCAAACACGTGTTCAGACTTCATGGAATCCCCCAAGAAATCCTGTCCGACAGAGGCCCTCAGTTCACTGCTCAGGTCTGGAAACACTTCTGCTCTCAATACCAAAATTTCTCTCACTTCCGGTTATCTCCCACAATCCAACGGACATACAGAACGCATGAATCAAGAACTGGAATCCACCCTACGCTGTTTCACATCAACCAACCCGATATACTGGAGCCAATATCTTCCGTGGGTAGAATATGCACACAACTCACTCACCTCATCTGCTACCGGTCTGTCCCCTTTTGAAGTGTCTTTAGGTTATCAGCCACCCCTGTTCCCCGCCGATGAAAAGGAGATCTGTTTTTAAAAAAAAAAAAAAANTCCCCTTTTGAAGTGTCTTTAGGTTATCAGCCACCCCTGTTCCCCGCCGATGAAAAGGAGATCTGTTTTTAAAAAAAAAAAAAAAAAAAAAAAAAAAAAAAAGAAAAGGAGATCTCTGTCCCTTCTGTCAACCATCACATCCGCCGCTGCCATAAAATTTGGAAGGACACCATATCAGCTGTGAATCGGACCTCCGCACAAAATAAGAAATTCTCAGACCGCAAACGACGCCCTGCTCCCACCTACACACCCGGACAACAGGTTTGGCTTTCCACTCGAGACATTCCCCTCAAGTCCATGTCCCGTAAACTCTCTCCTAGGTTCATCGGCCCATACAAGATTGAGTCTGTAATCAACCCGTCTGCCGTCAGCCTGCATCTGCCATCCTCACTCCGAATCCACCAAACTTTCCATGTATACCAGATCAAACCTGTCCTGACCAGCCCTCTTTGCCCTCCGTCTGACTCCCCTCCACCAGCCCGGGACATTGATGGTCACTCTGCCTTCACCGTTCGCCGGATCGTCGCCGGGGCCCCGGCTGGCAGTACCTGGTCGATTGAGGGTTACTGTTGGGATCTGGAGGTCTGTCCACTTTTTTCCACCAGAGGGCGTTCTAGGTCTCCTGGAGCTTGAGCTGATTGCACCACCTGTTGCTCGTTTGCTCATCAGGAGACCAGTATATAAGGAGGCAGAGGACATCACTCCAGCACCAGAGTGTTTTGCCAGTTATGGTTGAACCTGCCTGATACCAGAAACCCTGAAGAGTTTCTCTGTTGGAAATCTGTCTGTCTGATCCCTGAAGAACCCTGGAGAAGCAAACCTGTCAAAGACCTGCCTGCCTGCTCTCTGAAAAAACTGGAAGGGAAACTCAAACCTGTGATCTGCAAGCACTCAAACCAAGCTCTGCCTCCACCAAGCCCTCAGCCTGCCGACAGCCTCTGGACCCTCCTGGATCCCCCCCTCTGCCGCTCTGCTCAAACTCCAGAACAGGTACAGACCTGCACTCTCTCATCCTGCAAATTACCTGGACATCTGCTAACCCCTCTGTCCCCCTCTGCAGTGAACCCAGTCGTGACCAGTCCTGGATCTGATTATCCCTTGGATCAGTTCATTATCTCACTGTGTTTATTCAATAAACCTTTGAACTTTTCTCCTGTTTCCATGTGTTCTACATGTGGGTTAGGAACCTTAAACCAAACATCTCCTCTCGGGGCCGGTTTCTTTGTGGGTAAGAAGGATGGATCTCTACGAACTTGTATTGATTACAGAGGTCTGAACCAAATAACTGTTAAGAACAAATACCCTTTACCCCTGTTAGCATCTGCCTTTGAACCCGTCCAAGGAGCCACAGTTTTCACCAAGTTGGATTTAAGAAATGTCTATCATCTCCTCAGAATCAGAGAAGGAGATGAGTGGAAGACTGCATTTAAGACTCCTCTAGGGCAATTCGAGTACTTAGTAAGGCCCTGGTTAACAATGTTCTGAGGGATTTTCTAAATATCTTCGTTTTTGTCTATATTGACGACATTCTGATCTATTCCAAGAACATGTCTGAACATAAGAAACACGTCCGTTTGGTTCTTTAAAGACTCCTTGAAAACAAACTATATGTCAAATCTGAGAAGTGAGTTTCACCGTCCTTCTGTTACCTTCCTAGGTTTTGTGCTCGAGGGCGGGCAGGTGAAGCCGTCTGAGGACAAGATCAAGGCGGTTCTAGACTGGCCCACTCCCGAGAACCGTAAACAACTACAAAGGTTTCTGGGGTTTACTAACTTCTACAGAAGGTTCATTCGATACTACAGTCAGACAGCTCAGCCTCTTACTGCCCTAACATCTGTCAAAAGGACTTTTCACTGGTCTGCGGAGGCTGAGGCTGCATTTAATAAACTCAAGGCTCTTTTCTCTAGTGCACCCATCCTCGTCCAACCTTACCCCTCCAAGCAGTTCATATTGGAGGTGGATGCCTCTGATTCTGGGGTGGGGGCAGTCTTGTCCCAAGTGTCTGATTCTGACCAAAAGACTCATCCATGCGCCTTTTTCTCCCGCAGACTTTCTCCCGCAGAGAAAGCAAGCCTGAGCCAACCTGCCTGTCCGAATCTCTGACTCCCTGAAAACCTGATCTGATTTCTCCTTTCTGCTTCCCAGGTTGAACCTGCCTGAAACCAGAAACCCTGAAGAGTTTTTCTGTTGGAAATCTGCCTGTCTGATCTCTGAAGAACCCTGGAGAATAATTCCTGTCAAAGACCTGCCTGCCTGCTCTCTGAAGAATCTAGAAGGGAAACTCTAATCTGTGATCTGCAAACACTCAAACCAAGCTCTGCCTCCGCCAAGCCCTCAGCCTGCCGACACCCTCTGGACCCTCAAGGTTCCCCCCCTCAGCCGCTAAGCTCAAACTCCAGAACAGGTACTGTCCTGCTCACTCACATCCTGCAAATTACCTGGACATCCACTAACTCCACTGTCCCCCTCTGCAGTGAACCCACTCGTGACTAGTCCTGGATCTGATTAACCCCTGGATCTGTTTATCTTTGTACAGAATTACTTCAATAAACCTTTGAACTTTTCTCCTGCTTCAGTGTTCTGCATGTGGGTTAGGAACCTTAAGCCAAACATGACACTATTTGTTTTTAGGTAAAACTTCATTAGAAATATCATCCAGTATTATATGTATTTAACACAATCTCTCATCTTCTCATCTAATGTTCATTGATTACTTAGGAAATTAACAACAAATGGTATTTGTATGACTTACAATTTTATTAAACATTTATGTTTCACAAAAATATAATTACTGAGAAACACCAAAAAAAAAACAAATTGTCTTCTGTCTACCAGCAACTGATTTTTGACCCAACTGTTTTTATAATATACCCTATCTATAAAAATTGCTATAGAAATATGTAGGAAAATAGTTGATTCATACTAAATATGGCATTAAATATGATTAAAGGTTTATTTGATCTATGTGCAATCATTGCAATTTATCTTAGAGCAAATGATAAGATATTCATTATTACATTGTAAAACAAAAATGAAAAATTACTTTTCTGAAAAGAGTCTTAAAAACACAACAAAGTTCCTGTTGCCTGTAGAGCTCCTATGTAGTTTCCTATACACCATCATACTGTAAGTCCAATTTTCTGT